TAAATTTCACCGCCCTACCTTACTACAACATAGGGACAGAAGGGAGAAGGTTGTGAAGGTGGCCTCGTTATCCACACCTCCGGTCGGATGAATGGAGGACCGACCGAGACCCGGGTTTTCACAAGCGTTGACGGGTTCTGGAGTGCCTGTCAAGGGCGCTAGCGCATACCCCGGGGTGATCATCACCACCTGCACCTCACATCTCGGCACAGTGGAACGTGTAACCCGCCTGCTGTTCCATTCAACGTGATTTGTTCCTGTAATCCATAGCCTAACAGAACTAGGACAACCCGCCCATACAGCCAGCGGGGAGGATGGCACTACTGGCCAAAGACCGTCTGGCGAAAACGCCGCAGGCGCGAAGCGTGGTAGGCCTGCGCCGGGGAGCATAGCATAGGGAGGAAAAGGAGCCCGGACGGGTGGAAGAGCCAGGGGAGGCCTGGTCATTTGACGGAAATGGTTGGCTTTTCCCTATTAGAGAAGGCCCTATGGAGTCAAGGGAAGTGCATGAATTCTTGGAAAAAGAGGGAGCGAGCCTATATCAATAATGTAATAAAGCAAATGAAATTCATAGATAGAGTCAACGGTACGACAGACAGCGCTGCCTACACGCGAATTCGCTTCCGAGGTCGAGCAGTCTCAATTTCACTACAGGATTTTCGAATGAATGCTGGGCTGGGCCACCTCGAATGGCGTGAGCCGCATGCGGGGAGACCCGCACGTACGGTTTTTAGGGGGATCTGGTCGAAAAAGCGGCCTAAGCCCACCCGACTAGAGGGACTGAGAAATTGATAGAGTACAAAACTTATCTTCAAGCTTTACCTTATTCTGATCGTTCAGAGGGCGATCGCGGGGTCACTGAATGAAGTCCTCCGTTTCTTTCGGAGGTGCTGACCCGCAGCGAGGCAGAGATGACTAAGTGACATATTGAATATGGCGACGACAACAGCATGTCGTAGAAGGAGATAACAGGTGGAGCCACCACTAAGACTAACGTATCTACAACTACATCCCCGAGCGGCAGTCAAACGGGGGCGTGAATGCGAGATGCCAGCGGAATGATCGGCCGGACAGAGGCTAGGGCTGCTTCCTTCCCACCGCGTCCTTCCTTGTGTGTCGGAGATATAAAGCGAGTACACCGGAAAAGAATGGGAACTGGGTCGATCTATTCTATGGCGAAGCATCTGAAGCATAACTGCACACTCACACGATCTTTGCCGAGAGATAGGAGCATTCGGTGGAACCGGTGAACTACACTTGCTTCTGGATAGATGTGTGGGACAGAGGGCTCGTGGTACCTCTGCTGCCCACCCTTCCTCCTCTGCTTTGAGAACCGTGTGAACGGAGAGTGGGCAGAAGGGAAGGAGGTCCTCAGTAGGAGTCGCACACTGACTTGAGCAGTGCGGGAGACTGGGGAATGGTTCGAGTAAACTCCCATGGGTCCGGCAAAATCACAGACGAAGCTTTACAACGATAATAGGGCTTTGATTGTTCTTTTTTCTTAGTGATTGGAAAGTAGGGCTCCTATTGAAAAGGCTTTCCCTCCCTCAAAAGTCGGCCAGCTTTCAATACTAGTTGTTACGTTACGCTGACATTTTTCCAATATTATGGAATAGCATGGCCTGGGGCTAAGGTCACTCCAGTGGGAGAGCCGTGTTATGGGTGACCTTATTGCACGGTTCAGAGAGCACTTGTGTATGTGATGCAAGTGAACGTGTACGAAAAAGCTGTCGTCAAGTTTCGTTCTTCGTTCCGTCGTCGACCCTATCTATGTTTCTACGATGGCCCAAGAACACGCTCATTCTTCAGCCGTAGAGAGACTTTTGAATTGCGAGGTACCATTACGAGCTCAATATATACGAGTTTTATTCCGTGAAATCACTCGAATTTCAAATCATTCACTTGCTTTAACTACTCATGCTATGGATGTGGGAGCATCAACTCCGTTCCTGTGGGCTTTTGAGGAGCGGGAGAAATTGTTGGAATTCTATGAAAGAGTCTCGGGAGCCAGAATGCATGCCAGTTTCATACGACCAGGTGGAGTGGCACAAGATCTGCCTCTTGGCTTATGTCGAGATATTGATTCCTCCACACAACAATTTGCTTCTCGTATCGACGAATTAGAAGAGATGTCAACCGGCAACCGTATCTGGAAACAACGATTAGTGGATATTGGTACTGTCACTGCGCAGCAAGCAAAGGATTGGGGATTCAGTGGTGTAATGTTAAGAGGTCGTGCGACATGAAGACATTGATAGCAATATGGGGGAAGTTCCCATCAGGCAACAACGGTTCTGCCTGACCCTACTTAAGCATGCATATTATGTCAGTGAAGACTTGGTGTGAAGCCTTGGAGCTGACGTTAGAAGAGCAAAAGGCCCAGGGGCTAGGGTGAGCTGAGGGGGGACAGCGTAAGTGAGCGAATGTGTGTAAGCCCAGTCAAACATGGACTGTTCTAGGCAGGCCACCCACCTTCGAATGGTGTTGGTCCTACGGACCGTGAACGGATTCGCCTATGGCCTCTGGGCACGTCGGAACCGCATGAGTTCACCGGGGTGGAGCACGGTCCGCCAAAATCGGCATAGGTTAGGTGCTATTGATGGAACATGGTAAGCCTATCTTTCTCCATATGGAAGTGCTACGGGCACATAGAGATGTGGGTATAGGAAGCCTCAAAAAGCGAAGGCCGAGCTGTAGGTCACGTGACTTGCACCGAGTTGGTGGCTGACTGGGCTTTTTCCTTGATCAAAACAGATCCGCTCGCCTTCTTGGTCTTGCTACTGGCTCATAAAAAAGAAGAAGCAATAGAGCTTTGCATACAAGGATTCCAAAAGTGTTTCCAACGGAAGGCACGGACTCCTAGAACGTCCCGCGCCCTCTTTACTAATAAGGGAAAGAAAGCCTCAACCAGAACCACATTCCTTTTGCGTGCGGATGTAGCTAAGTGTCTGACTCTATTGGTCATAGTTTCCTGCTGGTGTGGCCGGTGCTCGTTTGCGCGCGCGTGAACCAACCCAACAAACAAGGAAAGGATGCCTCTCGGGGCATCTGAGAATGCTTCGAGCCGTATGAAGGGAAACTCTCACGTACAGTTTGTTTTTTTTGGGGGGGGAAGGAGCCCGACAGGGCCCCCCCACTGACTTGGCCCAGGCCTAAGTGAAAGTGAAGTGGTGGGCCTACCCATCCCAACCAGGGGTATGCTGGGATTCGCGAAAAGCAGCACCTTACGATGTTCATGACCAATCGGATCCTGACGTACCAGTAGGTACCAGAGGAGATCGCTATGATCGTTACTTACTTCGTATCGAAGAGATGCGACAAAGTGTTCGGATCATTGTGCAATGTCCTAATCAAATGCCTAGTGGCATGATCAAAGCCGATGATCGTAAGCTATGTCCTCCATCACGATCTCGAATGAAACTATCCATGGAATCGTGCGCCGTGTGAAACTGAGATCATCGCCGTTCTTAACCGAGACTCAGGTTAAGCTCCGTCTCGGAACCTTGTGGGGTTAGGAGTCAAGCATCCCGAGGTTAGCGCATCTCGTTGGGCGTGGAGAAGCATTGGGAACCCCAATTTCTTTCTTCGGAGCCGTTTCTTTTCCCGTCCCCCCGCCCCGGCATAGCGCTTCGCTGTAGTAGGTTCTTCGGAAGAATCAACTGACTTCTCCCTTCTTCATTGATATGGGGGAAAAGGAACCATATACCAGTTGGGAAGCTAGACATCAAGTAAGTGGCTTGATGAGGATAACGAAGCTGACACGCCTGAGTTGGCTGCTGGCACAACAGGGTGGTGCCTTACCGTACCGCACGCAGGCGGACGCGCGGTAGCGTTCGTGGTGGTGCTTCAGGATTCCAATGTACTGCGTCCAAGATCAGAACGAGCTTGCCTAAGGACCACTGCCGTCCAATTCTTGAGTGAGCTGGAGCGCAGCCATCTTATCCACTGAACTAGCTAGAAGCTATCGCTTCGGGTCGAAGCACTAAAAGAAAAGGACCGGGAAACGCGGCGGCATAGGAACCACGGGACCCCCCTACTAGTAAAGGGAAAACAGAAGTGCGCTCCTGCGCACCAGCTGAAAAAAGCCCCTTCCCTTTTTCATAATACCCACGGAGCGGTAAGCTTCATAGCTCCTTATCGACTCCATATTCATTATATTACAACCAATGTATTGAGAAGCTTGTTTGCCTGGGGGATTTGATGCCCTTTGTATAGGTTGGGTTGCTGGATACGGGATCCTCGTAGTAGGCTGGACCAACATACAGCCGAGAGAGGGCAGTCTTTAGAAGCAACAGGTTGGCAAGAGAACGCTTCGCATTTTCTTATCTTATTCCCGCCCTAGGAGTAGGAGTAGCACAAAAAGAGGGATTAGCATTATTTGACCCAATGAGAAACCACTAACACCTTCCTCGTCGGGGCTCCTAGCACTGGGAAAACGCTAACGCGACGGGAAAACGGCCACTAGTTACAAAGCGCCCCAATAAGGTATCGAGAGGGCTATCACAGTCAGGTGCGAAGCAATTTCCCCCTATTTGTAAACCATCTTCCTATTTAGGGAGTTGAGGCGAAAATGGCTTGATGAACCCTTCCGTTCGCCACGCACCGGCCCCATTCACTTGCTTATCGTAGAGGCTGTAAACAGTGCCCCACAACTATTCATAGTATAGTGGGGTTGAAACACAAGAGTGCCTGCCCCCTTTTCTAATCCATATCCATCATCCTTTATACTATGTATTGGTAGGCTTGTGTTATTTTTTGGGCCACTTTTTACGGAACGCAGTCGGGGATAACCGTAACCGTGTATATAGAGAAATATATCTTCGATGCTGTCATTTCGAAATGCCCGCTTCAACCGCTGTTTCACCTCCCAAAGAGAAAAGTTGGCTTGATGAGCGCAGATGAGGAAGCGAGAGCAAGACAACCACCAAGAATCTCTTTCTTGTCCTTCTACTTAAGGGGCAAAGAGAAGCGCTTTTGCTACTGAGAAAGCGAACGCGCTAAGGTTCAAGACTTTTAGCCGAGCGTTAGCAAAGCGGAACGAAGCGTCGGTAGCAAAGATGACAAGGCAAGGCGTTAGCGAAGCGTCATTCTCATAGCGAGGCGCTTCGAGTTAGCGAATCGATGTAGTAGCGACGAAGCCCTATGTGCTATAATGCTGAGCCAAGGACGCTCCGACTTATCTATAGAAGCAGTCAACTGAGTTCTGAACGAATTAGCTCCTTGGTAATGGATTAATCTATAGATAGAGAGCCCTATGATGGGAAACTACCACGTTAGGTTTGGAGAGAGATGGGACCGGTTATATATATATAGGGGGAGCAGATGCAAGCTTTTTCTTTCAATAGCCGGCCAAATGACTAAAGGATCATCGGTCTACTCTACCTCAATTCACCATTTCGAACCTTATACAGAAGGTTTTTCCGTACCAGCTTCTTCTACCTATACCGCAGTAGAAGCACCTAAAGGAGAATTTGGTGTCTTTCTAGTCAGTAATGGAAGCAATCGTCCCTACCGTCGTCAAATAAGAGCACCTGGCTCTGCCCATTCACAAGGACTCGATTCTATGGCCAAACATCACATGCCAGCGGATGTGGTCACCATCATAGGTACTCAAGATATTGTGTCTGGAGAGGTGGATAGATAGGACTACGAGTTGCTAGATCAGGAACCTAGCTTTTTTTTATTGCGAGCCAAAAAACTGGATAGATTCCACTTACCCATATATCCTCAGGACTAGAGATGAACGAATTACATACGCCCGAAATGGAGATCGAAGAATTTGCTTTCTGTTGAAGTTCTCCTTCTGCGGAGACAAAACGAGAACGAGTTCAGTCGAACAGCGTATATAGTATAGAGAAGTGACAGAGCCTCTCGTTTAGAGTCATTTAAAACGAAAGGAGCCGCCACAGCGCACAATGAAATGATAGGATTTTTGTGCATACCGCAGCGAAGGCAGAAAGGCCTGTCTGCACTTGTTTTCAAGATGAGTATTGAAGTCAGGGCTTTTTCTATTAGCGGTACGAGAATAGGAGGCAACCTCATACTTTAGGAAACCAGGCTATTTGAATTCATGGGAAAGGGGAAAGCGAAAGGTATGATACGGATGGCTAGACATGGTAAGGAGAGGGAAAAAACAGCAAGAAGCAGCCGACAAGGCTATGCAAGCTACTTGTGTCAGACTATTCCTCAAGCAAGACCTAGTCACACGCTACTGTTAGGAGGCCTAAACTCGAGACCACCATATCCTTACATGGGAATTTCTATGCCTGCCCATAATCTTCAATCTTTACAACAACAGGAGATGCATAAAACAAGTAGGTATCTTCCTGCGGTAGAGCCCTTTTCTACTAAATAATCAAATGAAATAGGTGGTCGCATTAAGCAGGAAACTTGCTAAGCGGTTAGCTTATGGTTCATGTGCGAAGGATTAGCAGTCAGTCTGCTCACTTCCTTATTGAATTAGTGTATCTTTATTTGCTGGTTCTTGCTTTTTGTTAAAGGCTCGGGGAAGAAAAACAACGCAAAATTGTGCACTCTTGCCTCACCTTGAAAGGGGATCCGATCCCAAACAACAACAATTCATAGGACGCGGGCAGGCTTGATTAGCACTTTTGGAATTGGTTAGCTAATGTGAGGGCTGACCCTTGTACACGTTAGTCTCACATCCTTTCCTTGGGTTGTCCAGTATTTTCTGATTTTGCTTGGCTGAGAAGAGACTGTCTATCATCCACGGAATGAGGTCCTTGATCTTGAGTCTCATAGGAATGGTCTAGGGATTTCAAGAATGAAGGCAAACAGGTAGTTGGACCAGCAAGTGATCCGCCCACATCCAGACGAATCAGAAGATTGGAAACTGATTTTCTTTCTGATTTTGCATTAAAGGGACAGGGAAGCAAAACAACTCCAAATTGACGTCAAAACTGACTTTCTATTTTACCTGATCCAGGGCTTGCCTTCTCATCTGTTTGCAAGGAGATTCATGTTGTCAATCTAGGTCAAGTTACGCGAACCCTTCGCTCTAATGGATTTGTCAGTTCTGTAATCTTTGAACATGCCTAGTCTCGTAGTCAGTTTTCCCTCGCGTAAGTATGTTTGATCCATTTGTTCAACACTGAAAGTCTCAAAGTGACAATCCCAGGAATACTTCAACAGAGAGATAAATGCTCAATTAGAGCTGCTTTCTTCTATGATTAGAAGATCGATCTCATATGGAAGATCTGAAACTTCTTTTCGGTATTTGTTTTCCCTTAGGGGCTACGAGTGATTTCCAACTCAAAATGGAAGTCAAAAACAACCAATTTTGAAGTTCAAATCGTACCTTGTTGATGCTTCAAGTTAGGCGGAAAGGGTCGGGTTCAAAATGAGAACGAAAGAACCGGCGTCGGAGCAACCTTAGGTGGAGTCTCGGGCGAGCTTCGTAGAGTGACCACCAACAGCAAAAGCAAACGTCAGTCCTACATCCCCTATTGATTGAGGCAAATGAGAAAGTAAATTCTTCGCCTATGTTAGGAAGATTAGAAACTCATTTTAGGTATTCATTTCTATTAAAGAGCGACGAGCTAAATGCAACTCAAAGTGAACCAGTTTTTGCGTGACCTGACGTTCCATTTTGTGAGAGCACAGTAGTCCCAATGGGTAGGATAACGAGTCTATAGCATTCATTCATCAAATCATCAACGAATTTGCTCGAACATATGGACCAAAAGAACCTTGGAGAATCCTTGTATGCAATGCTCTCTATTTTCTTCTTTTTTCTGCGATAGATTACCGCTTGTCTTGCATTTGGAGAGGGCAGTGAAATCACTTTCCACGTTTCATGTATAAAGAGAAGCAAACAATGACAAAGGGTAGGAAGTAGATGTAGTCACACACGAAGAAATACTTCACTCTCTGATCTTCGTACGAATTAGGGCTTCCACAGCAATCTATAGCCACTCATTTTTCTTGCTTGCAACGCCAAGAGATTTCTTCGTCTTTGATAGATCAATCCCACCTTGAATTGGGAGAGGTAAATCACTTGGAAGGTTCACATATAAAGAGTCTATAGGGGAAGATTATAGGAAGAAATGAATGAAGCAACCTGTCGCTTATATCAGTTCCGCACGCTCTAGGCACATGGAATCATTCAGCAAAGAATCCACGCTTTTTTCTTGTTGGCTTGGAAGCGCGGTTTTACGAAAGATTCTCTACCTCATTTCCTCTAAAGGACTATGAGGGAAATCCAACTCAAAATGGTGAAAGCGAAAAAGTCAGCTAATCCTTATTATGACACCGAAGATCATACCAAAAGAAGAAGTTGAACTATTCCTTTCTCATCCCAAGGTACATATTGTTGCACCCGCTAAACTGTAGCTGGTCTCGGACCCACAGCAGGTATCTATAGTCGTGTCAATCCTTTCATCAGATTCGCGTACAACAAGGAATGGAATTGGAAGACATTCTTAAGCCCTAGGACTCAATGTTCATGTGCCAAGCTTCCCTCGCGGGTGGAACTAGTTTTGCCATAGCCACCTTGCTCTCCAACTTGCCTGTGTTCTGTCGAAGGAGTCAGTAAAGTAGATGTTTCCAAACCACTTCGATAAAGAGGATGCCCTGTTCGTGCAATCAAGGAATAGCGCGGGTTTTACTTTCATATCCTAACGGATAGGAAGATAATATATAGTATAGTAGAATCTCCTTCTTGCTTAGGAGCTACAGCCTCACTACAGATAGGCAGATAGATATTGTTAGTAGTAGCTGCCCCTGCTATGTCGTAGGCTTTTCCTCGCTTCCCCGACAGGAATGACTCCTATCTCGTCTCGTACTTATAGTTTCAGAATTTCATTCCATCTCCTTTCTTCTCTCATAAGATTCACAAGGTAAAACCAAGAATTCGAATGGTTGTGCCCTTATCGATCGGTTGAGTTCCATAAGAAGACGCGGGTGTTCCCGAGGCTATCCCTAGCACCGCATGCCACAACTAAGAAAGTTCCGTCTTTACCTCGGTCAGAATCAGAGGCGACTTCGCCGGAACACAGTCCAGTTTTAGATTCCACCAACCCTTGTTCTCACATTCTCAAGACAAGCGAGCAGCGTACTGGCGGAAGTGGTGGAGCAGTTCATTCCCGTACTCCGTTGACTACCTACTATAGTCAATTTCAAGGGAATGCTTGGGAAAGACAGGAGGTTTGCTTCGATTAACCCTTTGAATTCAACTTGTATTATGTCTGATTGTCTTTCTCGAGACTCCCCCAATCAATGGATTAGAAACTCATTTTTAGATTCTATTTTGTTAAGGGCGCTGGGAAGAAAAGAAACTCATATTGCTACTGAACTACAGCTCATTTGGATCTTGCTTGTTTGTGAAAGGCAAAGGGAATCAAAACTACGCATTTTGAGAAGCGGTTTTCAGAGAGAGATGAAAGAAAGGTTTGAGAAAGTAGTACGCCTGTTTCAGGAGCTTTCTCTCGTAAAGATGGACTTCCCCATTCTAGCGACTCTTAAAGAAGAGAATTCGTCGAATCAATGAAATGAGCCTATCTATGCGTACTCTATGTACCCTGTTGGGGTTTATGTAGTTGCACCAACGGCAAATGTATAGCAAGTGTGAAGTGAGGCATCGCTCTCGGTATCAAATGGCGAATAGAGACCGGCAAGCTCGACTAACAGTCGACTGCACTGAAGAGACGTAGCAGGAAGGAGAGAAGCGAACGAGATGCATTTTAGTTCGGTTCAAAATCTGAGGCAGTAGAACGAATTGTTATACAGGTCAGGAAAAGCTTTTTGAGAATCATTTCTTTCTTACAGGACATATCTCTATATTATGTGTACTTTCCTTTCTTCGAATGGGGTTCAGTCTGTATACGAACCTTTTCTATTAATATAATAGAAGTTGAAAGTTCAGAGCTCGTATCCATTCCTTTTCTTATGAAGTCAAGATGGAGTTAACAGACTTGGCAGGCCTGTCTTAAGCATAGAGCTAGCGACTAAGAAAGCAAGAGCGCTTCAAGGAGACGAATATCCTTGAGGTTCCAGTACCAGGAGAGGCGGGGTCCTATTCGACAGCTTTCACAACATGGCTTCTTTTTATAGAGAAAATAGGCCATAGAATACTAATCAAGTTCTATATTTCTCTGAGAGGTCGGGAAGGGAGGAACGGGAACCTTTATAACCGGTAGGTGCATCGATCCTGACCTTGTCCATAGCTATAAGTAAGGTTGGTTAACTTTCTATTATAAGAGAGTGGTATTGACCCTCCTTGTCCAGCTCCTTCGCAACTATGATAGAACAAGGGCACCACAAGAAAATGCTATCAATAATACACAGAAACTGAACGACGCTCGGCGTGGCTAAGCCAAAAAGCCCTCGCCGATTCCTTTTTAACACCAAACACAGAGGCATTCCCCTTTAGCCTACATCAACAACTTCGGGTTTACAATGAAAGTCGATCGAGAAAGTCTTGTTCTACAGTTGCGAAGGAATCCTTCTCCGGCCAGCTGAGCTGGGTCTTCTCTCCTCTACTGTCAGAAAAGGAAGCCTCTTGGGCTCAAAGAAAGGAAGTTAAATTCATCAATGAATCTGAACTTCTCTCTCCGCTAGTGCGCTGAACGCTAGATACCAGCAAAAGTGTCTTTCGTTTATGTCCCTTCATTCCGTTTATGAGGAACTGGTTATTTGTTTGGCCGGGCAACTCTATCAGAAAAGTCTTCAATAAAGCCTGT